CCTGACAGACTGTGGCACTTTGGATGAGGTGCTGGTTCTTGCAAAGTCTGGCCTTCTACTGTATGTGATGGCCCAGCAGTCTGACTCAAGAGAAAACTTCCAGATCTGGGTTTGTGCTGTTGAGGAGCAAGAATGTTAACAGCAAAAGTGCAGACTGCATTCAGGAGACCCAAAGATGCCAGAGATGATGATTAGGGCTGAGAGAATCCATTGATCAGGGGCAAATGATCAGTGACTTCAATCAATGAGATTGGGCTTCATCCAAGAAGGTGTGAACATACAGTGATGACCAGGATTCACCTCAGAGGTCTCAGGCAAGAGTGGTTGACTAGCTGGATTGAAAAGTTCTGACATGGGCTTCAGCCTCCTGCTCCTTCTCCTGGCTAGTGTGCTGATACTTCATCATAAGTAGGTCAACACAAAGCCCAGCCTCTTTTCCTGCATTCATATCCCACAGTGCCGGGGTTTGGTCAGGCATCCTCTCTGTCCTGCCACTCAGAAGGGGACACAGCAGTGACAGTGAGGGTCAGTGCTGGCCTCATTCTGGCCTCAGCTCGGCTAGTCTGTGAACTGTTGTCCTCCCAACAGATTCCACTGTGCCACAGCCAGCCAGGTTGTTCCCATCACCACCCAAACTCTGAGGAAGAAACATTACCCTTTTGCACTTAATGCAGCTTTAAAGTATGGAAAGCAGAAACTAGTAGAAGAATAAGATTAACTCCATAAAAATGGAAGGACTTGAAGATGTCTTTCTCAGAAACTCAGAGATCAAGTTGCTAGAAACTAGAGCAAAAGATTTAGATTTGAATTATTCAACCAGACCGTTAGTAGCCATTTGTGACTATTTTAATTTTTATTTTAAGCTAGTAACAAGAAAAGCAACTTTTTTAGTTCACTAGCAACAATCCAGAGCACTCAACATCACATGTCTGCCTCTCTTGAAACACTAATAAGGAGAGAGAGAGAGAGAGAGAGAGAGAGAGAGAGAGAAAGAGAAAGAGAGAGAGAGAAATTGTCATGGTTCTTTTAACATGTATCAAATTGCTGCCAAACCCTCTGTGGTAATGTTAAAACTTGTTTACATACTATGAAAAATTTCTGGCCCTATAGTCCCAATATTAATTCCAGCTTCTCCTCTCATCAGTTTTGGTCGTCTGTGACTTGTTTCTTTAGCCCAACCCCCCTTCATCTTCCAGACATCACTTCTTCCTTTGCTTGGCGTGAGGATGCCACTTCTTCCCACAGGGTGTACCCTTCATGTTCCTCTAAGCCAGACTGGAGCTGTCCATTTCTAGACCTTTCATATTTTTCCATAGCAGAAATGGAAGTACTGTGCCTTCCTCTGTCCTGTTATGGGAATTTTACTGATCAATATTGTGTAGTCTTGTCACTGTGTTAAATGTCATTTGTTGAATTGCATTTCAATAGTTAAAATTTATGAACTTATTTGGAATTTTGAAGCTCATACCTTTAGTCATTAGGAAGGGGAGGAGTCTGAAAACTCAAGGTGTACTGTTGTACTTATCTGGAGTCCTTTTGACCTCTGTGAAGTGGATCCAATGGCTTCTTTTGATCCTCAGAGGCTTATGTGAATTCTTATTTTATAAGAGGACAAAAAAGTTTAAAATATATTAGTATTACCAATCAGTAGAGAAATCCATATTGTAGAAAAAGCAGGCAAATGGTATCATAAACAGCAGCAGTAGATTCATATTTTTTTTTTTTTTTGGTTTTTTTCAAAACAGGGTTTCTCTATGTAGCTTTGCACCTTTCCTGGAACTCACTTGGTAGCCCAGGCTGGCCTCAGAATCACAGAGATCAGCATGGCTCTGCCTCCTAAGTGCTGGGATTAAAGGCATATGCCATCACCACCCGGCAAGATTCATATCTTTGAGACCAAACAAAAACTATAGTTTTGGGTTTAAAAACAAATGTATGTTTTTTTTCTGTCCAGAGAGCCAGCTATAAATTAGACTTAAATGTCTTTGGCCTGATGAAAAGCATCTGTAAGTCTATATTGGTAAGATAACCAAAAGATATATGAAATCTTACGCTCATAATTCGAACAGTAAGCAATCATAGGTCTATTAGCTTCTCAGATTTCTATTAATGTTAAATTTCTGAACTTTTGAAGTTTTAAACAAAACCCACCAATTCCTTGACCACCACACCATCTCTCTGCCTCTCAGGCTGTCCAGCTCTGCCCCCACCAGACCACCCTCCTTGCTTCCTGGTCCTTCCTTTCACTGTACCACCCTGGCATGTCTCCAAGACAGCCCTACCCACCCTGACCCCTGACCCCAGGTGACACTCCTCATCCACTCAGGAGCTACTTTCCAGGGCTCCCTCTATGAGTCCTCACCTCCTGGACTGCCCTGGCAATGGCTATCCTTAATATACCCAGGAGAGGCTAGTGGCCAAGGATGGTGCTGCTCTGTTTACTTCCTGGATGTGAGGCTGAGCATCTCCCAGGCTTCCCAAGAGAGCAGGTGCCCTGAAGTGGTCCAAGGATTCTCCATGGAGTGTGTGACAGCAAACTTCTGGTGACCTGCAGCTGCTGACACCAAAACCTCACACCACAGCCACAGGCTGCCAGAGCCTGCCCCTGACCCACAGAACCATGCTGTAAGGACTATAAGGACTTGTCCATCTTCAGTGTTAGGAATTCATGACACAGTAACAGCAGAACACCCCAGGCCCATGGTCATCATGCAGGGTGGAGATTCTGTGGGTCCCTCAGACCCATGCTATGCTATAAGACCTGGCAAGCTCCTGTCCTCACCCCTGGAGCTTTGGACAATAGGTGTGGGATGACTCATCCTAACAGGCTTGAGGGCCAGAGGGCCCAAACAAGTGAAAAATATATCTTCTGATAGCCAGCCTGGGTCTGCCTGATGGTCTTAGCAACAGCAGCTGAAACATGATCTGGAGATGACCTGGACCAATGAGAGGCAGCCATGTCACACCAGCTGATGCATAGTCATCAGACCTTCCCCCAGGATGAAGTGGAGGGCATATAAGGCTTGCCTCCTCCTGGGTAAACTGAGCTTGTTTCAACATTCTCACAAATTCTGTATGGTTTGACTCTGTGCCTACTTGGCCCCTGCCCCCAAAGGGAACAACAGCAAAGGATGTTCAGACTTTGTAGAAGAAATGGGGGTTGTTATGAAAAATCCAAGAGTCTGCTTAAAAGGTAAAGGAATTTATTAGGGAGAAAGACTCACTACAGTACAGGAGATTTCTCATAGTGTCCTGGAAGACCGAGGTACAGCCCCATGCTGTTCTTCCACCTGAGTGTGTCCCAGCATCCAAGCCCACAAGGGAGAGAAGAGGAGTGGTGTACATGCCTCTGAGGTCTTAAGAGTAGCCCCGGGGCCACTTCCCAGGGCAGACACTACAAGGACATATGTAGGTAGGACAGTTACCTGATACATCTCTAGGGGCGGGGCTTCAAGGTCATAGATAGAAAAGATATAGCCACTATAGGGGGTCTCATGTGAGTGTCACCTCTGTCCATTGCCCCCCTTGTCCAATCCCGAGATATGTAACATTCTGCATGTAAGCGTTTCCTATATAAACCCCTTAAATTGAGTGCTTGGGACCTTCTCTCTTTTCACCTACTGTAAAGTGGTGTCAGGGAGTCCCTGCCTAGGCTAGAATAAAGAAAACCTTTTGTTCTTACATAGGAAGTTGGCTCCTTGGCGGTCTTGCTGGGGGTCTCAGGCATGGGTATTACACTACAAGTCAGGAGGACTTGTGGGCCTCTTACCCGCACATGGACTCTCAGCACAGACCTGGGGTGAATGGTCTGTACATTTATGACATAGAAGTGCAGGTATTAAGGAACCAAGGGTGACAACTGATAGGGTGAACAGTGAGGAGCCAAGTAGAGAGCCTGGGTTGGTAAATAAGTCCAGGAGAGAGTGCTGAACACACACACACACACACACACACACACACACACACACACACACACAGGCACACACCTACACATCACTGGTATCTGCTGTATTCAATGAGAAGCACTTTTTTCTCTTCATTTACACCAGAAACCCCCTGTGTGCTGGCACCAACCATTAAGAGTCCTTGTGGGAGAGCAGAGGGTCTGGTCTGGTGGATACCTCAGGGCCACTTTGTATTTCTGGTGATGCTGGTCAATGTCAGCAGGGCCTTGGTCCTCACCTTAGGCACTATCCTGGTTTAGTTACTATTACTGTGATAAGCAGAATGACCAAAAGTACACTTAGGGAGGAAAGGGTCTATTTGGGTCACAGCCCATGATCAGGGCAAGTCAAGGCAGGAACCTGGAGGAAGGTGGTTGTTCACCATTCCGTGTGAGTGCTGGAAACCAAACTCATATCCTCTGCTAGAGCAACAGTTCCTAACTGTGAAGCCATTTTTCCAGGCTTTTTTTTTTTTTTTTTGAGACATACTATATAGCCCAGGATGGCCTTTTACCACCCAGTGCCCAAGCCTTCAAACAAGAGATTTACAGGAATGCCACACCACACCTAGCTCCCACTATGCCAAGTCTTCATAATTGCCACCCCCCAGCTGCATTCTGGGTGGTATTTCAAGCCCCACTCTGTGCAAGGGCTGTGTGGCTTAAGCCAGTTGTTGTAGTTCTCCAAGTCAAGCTTTGAGAGTTCAGGCCCCGAGGTGAGCAGCGTTCCCTGTGGAAACAGCTTAACAACTTTACTGTTGACTGACTGTATGACCATCATAGACACCAGCCCCTGCAGGTCACCCCACTCCTCTTAAAACCCACATCTATTCCTCAGCTTCCACACCAGCTCTCTACTTTCTGCCACTTACCCGTTGACCACCGCCCACACTGGATTCCATGGTTCCATGAGTCCCTCCAGCCACCATCACACTGACTCACAGGCGCTAACCTTGAGAACACATGGGATATCACTCCACTGACACCTTAAGCTGTTCCCCTCCTTAACTAACATGGTGTGATTGAGCCTCTCAGGACCTCCAAAATCTCACTTCCATTTCACCTAGTCTCACTCACTTTCCCCTAATATCAGCTAGGAAGTGTACAGTCAGCTAATGGTATCCAGAGGAGGAAGTAGTGGCCTCCAGGCCCTTGAAACTCACCATTGTCCTCCCCACTGAGAGTGACCTTCTTTGGCATCAATGAGAGAAATTCACGAAGACACCAAAGTCTTGGGTGCTAAAGTTCCCTCTAGACCTCTGCCCAGGATCTGTAGGCAACCTGCCCACACCTTCCCAGAGACCTTGACCCATCTCTACACCCAGGATGTCTGACCCAGCAAAAGTGCTATGTACACAGCTGTCCGCAGCAGTAAGTTTGCTGCCTTAATTTTAAATACCTTTTTTTGTCCTGTCCCACTTAAGTTGTTTGTGAGAAAAATGTGCAGTTGGGTTCCGGAGGGTGCTGGGGATCAGTTCCCCTGTGGTTTTTCCTGTTTGGAAAACAGTGTCAGGCTTGCCTACAGATGCAGAGTAACCATTCCTTGACTCCTGCTGTTAGAAGGGTATATAAACCCAAGTTGGTAAGAATAAAGAGAGCTGCTTCCCTGATGAACTCAAACTGGGTGTCTAGAGTGCTATTTAACCTTGGTGTCCTTTGCCAGATTTCCTGCACCAGCTGCGTGGGTCGCAGCAAGTGGATGTCACCACTGAGACCTGGAAAGAGGGGTAAGCAAACGAGGCTCACTTTAAAAGGAAGGGTGGAGGATTGAAACATTGGTATGTACCATGGGCTATTCTACTGCAAAAGATCAGTTGGCCACTGAGGAACAGGAAGTAAGTTAAGTAAGCAAAGAACAGGAATTAAGTAAGCAAGGAACAGGAATTAAGTCTAGCCCCGCACTCACATTTGTGGACACCATAGCTGAAGCAAGTCCTTGATTTCTGACGGGAGGAGGTCTGAATATTACAAGTAAAGAGAGATTTACAAAAGATGTTGCAAGAGAAGGGCGCAGATAAATTTCCTACAGCTGCATTTTCTCTATGGAGACTTGTGAAAGATGCTCTTCTGAAAGTGAAAGTGAAAGAGCAACTTTCAGAGTGGGAGCAAGCATTTGCTAATGCTTAGGAGGCAGAGAGGAATGAATCTTTGAAAGGGGAAAAGGAAGAGGTGGAGGATATTTGTGAAAGATTTCATGGATGAGAAAGAAGATGATGATCTTGCCTCTGTCTCAGATTTAGTAGAGGGGGAAGAGCAGCTACAAAAAGAGATAGAGGAATTACAACAGAAATTGTGCCCTGCAAAAGTGAAAGCACAGTCAGCACCTTCTGTGTCTCTATTGTCTCGACCCCAGCCAAGAAATCCTCATTGGATAGGGGAGGAAAAAGAATCAGAGGACAGATATAGGCAAAAAAAAAAAAAGGTGTGTGTGTGTGTGTGTGTGTGGCATGAAACATATCCAGTCATTGAAACTCAGAATCAAGCTGGACATACCTGTCCGGGAGCATGTTCCTTTAACTTTAAAAGATGATGCCTCAGGGAGAAGCTGAGCCGTTATGGAGTTTAGTAAAAAAAATCCACCTGTGTTACTGCCTGTGGGTATTGATAGCCCTGTTTTTCTTACTGTATTTTCTTTTAATTGGACAATTGGTACTGCTGCCAGCAATGTCAAACTCCAAGAAGGTTTTGAAAAAAAAAAATAATGCTCTGTGTTTTGAGAAAAATTGTACAGCTGGCAAGAATAATACCAATGATCTGAAAGGCAGCTTTCATGATTGCCTAGTCCTGAGTAATACTTCTTTGGCAGACTTTGTAGGTAGTTCCAGCATGTCC